TGAATTTGTTTTTCGATACAAAGTTATCATGTCCAGAAAAGCAATAAATCGATATCACAAATCTGCGTTTTCGCAAACTTTGGCGATGATAGCGTCTAAAATCCAATTTTAGTGGGGTAATTTCAGTTTCGACATATCTCCCAAACTAATGATTGGAATAGACCAAGTGCCTCCCTTCTATTAGAGACAGTCTTGTCTGAAAACGGCTCCCAACTGTATACGCTTACCTGTCGAGAAGTTGTGGAGTTTTGAGCAGACTCAGGTGTGGGCTTCCGGTCATCCCTAGCAACATGGACTGCCTCAAATTTTACAGCAGGTTGTGTGTCATGTTCCTGTTTGCACTGGTAAAACAAGCGAGAAGGATACCACAGATATCACAAAACTAATTTGAGCTAGTATAGTACTTGTTCTTTACACTGTTTCTCTTAGATTTCAGTTGTTATTCACATTTTGTAGTTAAGGACGAGTAATATTCTCAGTGCCATGTATTTGTATTTGTAAAAATGGAAGTTTTAACACTTGTAAGTGTACAACTTGTCAACACGTTTAGTAAAATGTTTAGTAAAATGAAAGTCGCGGAGGTCTCCGCTCAAGGGGTAGAAACAGCGTGAGTCTCGGATCTAGCGGGTGAACTGAGGACCTTTTAGTAGTTTAGGGTGTCTGAATAAGGCACGAGGTAAGGCGAAGGAACTCGCCTCGATTTAAATAGCACAGGCTTACCTGGGAAGCTGCACGATCTGATGTGGGCACTCCGTCATCCTGGGCGGCGGGAACTACCCCCTGTTGGCACACCCGCGCATATAAACCGCAAGGGAAAGGATCGATAATCAGCTCTAACTTTGAAATCAATAAATGATTTAATCAATAAAACTTACCAATTGAAATCCTGTTGAGCCCGACGCAGCTACGAGGAGCTTTAAAAGTTTCAAGTGGTGTCCAGTATCCGCTTCACTGCCATAATTGTTCCAGTGAAGTGGTTCAAGGGGCCATTTGAACCTGATGGCTTGGGAATTACTAGTGATCTTGATTTCACATGCCACTCCAGTACGGATGATTGCAAAAACCTGCAAGAGCTAAAGATGGCGTATTAGCTAAGGTGCTGGAAGTCCGAGGAGGGAAAGGAGAGGGAGCGTTAGAGCTGTGAGAATCAAGGTCACACCATGATTTACTCAATTAGTGGTGACAGTGAAACAAATGGACAGAGATGATTAGCTCTAGGTATTGGTAGTGAAAACTATTTTACCTTTTTTTGGCCGTCTTGATTGATGTTAGTTTGACTATCGAGCTCCGAAATCGTGTCTTGTAGAGGCGCCGACTCCCGCAGGTTTTTACAGACGGTAGACCACGCCGTCGGGATGTTGAGCACGCCGCGGCATCGTCCCAGGCACGGATTTGTGTGGAAATTCGCTGAGCCCACTTGGCAGTGTTCTTCGCACCACAATTCCATTGAATCCTGGAAACAAATCATGAAAGCCAGTTCCATCAATGCAGTTGATACGCTTGCTGGACTGTGACACTTGTCCAAAACACATATGTACAGAGGGTGGTCCACAGACCCCTTCCTTTATTTTGCTGATACTGTACCGCATGCAGGCGTGCGGGCGGGCTTGCCCGTTGGGCCTTATGGCCCCGTCCGAGTAGGCAACCCGGCCGCACGCCTGCATCCGGTACAGTATAAGCAAAATAAAGGAAGGGGTCTGTGGACCACCCTGTATAAACACTTTTGGGGACACTTGGCCCAGGCTTACCTGGGAAGCTGCGCCATCTGCTGTTGGCTCTCGGTCCACCTGGGCGGTAGGAACTGCCCCCTGCAGGCTGAT